CAGTCTGGGTAAATGCAGCTTTCGATTCGATCCAGCTGAAGTTTCTTTCGAATTTGCGTTTGCGAAGACAGACGGAAAAAAAATGGCACGTACCGGAAAAGAAAAGCATTTCGGCATTTCTGCTGAACATTCTAATTCGAACGAGCGTACAAGTCTTAAATCGTGCCTGCCGATTTATCAAATGCCTGCTCACACGCTTTGTCTACGTTGTGGCATGCGTTCCCATTGTCGCGGCCTAAAATAAAGTGGCGACTGACAAAAAAGACCTTAATTTTGGCGGGCCGTGGTGATTTTTCACCCGCTCGAATAGATGGTATGTTCCGCAGTAGATTAGCTGTTGGCAATTAATTGACGTCATTTAGGTTTATTTATTTTCGGCAAGGAGACGATTGACGTTGATGATTTCTTTTGTTTAAAAATGGAGACAAGTTTACGTTATCCTGTTCGCGAAATAAATTACCCGGGTATGATAAAAACAAGTTCCCCCCAAAAACAAAAAATCATAGTCACTTAAAGTGATTATTCGTTTAGGACACCTTTTTTGACGCTCTATATAAGATAGGAAGCTTTTTATAATTGTAACGTAAAATATGGTCCATTCTTTCCACCTTCTGTAAATTTCGCTTTGTCATAAATCATTTATTTTGATCGTAGAATCCAAATATATATATATATATATATATATATATATATATATATATATATATATATATATATATATATATATATATATATATATATATATATATATATATATATATATATTCTCACGTATTGATTCACGGATGGAAAAATGTGATGACACTATATTCCGGGATATCATCCGTTCGCTCGTTGAACTCCGACTGGAATCCTGCATCCGACTGGAATCCTGCAAATCTTGCATCCGACTGGAATCCTGCAGACGTTTCGCCAAAATCTCACTTGGCATCTTCAATGCTCGCGCTCCGAAAACACTTCGAACACTGGGAGGTTATCGGCGGTGCGTGCGGTATTTATACTCTGCGCCGGAGATGGTAACGGTGCTGCTTGTGCGTGGGGGGAGGTGGCTCCGCCCCCTGAATTGTCGCGTTGTTAATTTCGCCCGATCGTAGTTGCGATGTCCCCGTTGGCTGCTGCGCATCGCTCTGCTGTTTGATTATCGTTCTCCACGTGTTGGATAAATGCAGAGCGTCGTCTCTCGTATTGAGGTGTCCGGACTTTTCTATCATCTGATCATCTGAATTCCATTCACCCAAGGATTCAATTTACAATAGAACTTGAAGAGGATAACAGTCTGCCCTTTTTAGATGTGCACATCACAAGGACCGAAGATGGACACTTGGAACACACTGTCTATAGAAAACCAACACACACTAATAGATATCTGAACGCTAAATCTCATCACCACCCATCACAGATACAGGCAGTGGCAAATACATTAATTGCTCGGTCCTTCAGGCTCACAAACGAGAGGAACAGAGATAAAGAACTGAAGAAAATTAGTACCTGTCTTCAACAAAACGGATACCAAAGGCGCACCATCAACAAGGCAATCAATAAACAACAACAGCCGCAGCAGAGAGTACAGGACGAGACCCAACGAAGATCGATCGCTGTCCTGCCATACATCAAGGGGGTTACTGACAAAATCGGCCGAATATTACGGAAACACGACATATCAACGGCATACAAACCTGACCATACCATCGGAGCAATACTAAGAAACCCAAAACAAAAAATTACTCTGGAAAACCAAGGAGTATACAGTGTAGCATGCGGATCGTGCAGCCTGACGTATGTGGGACAGACCAACAGAAGGATTTCAGCCAGGCTCGAGGAACATCGTTTAGCCATAAGAAACAAACAAACAACATCTGCTTTGTTTCAGCACCAACATCAGACAGGCCATAAAATTGATTTCGGCACTTGCAAACAAATAGCTAATATTCCTGATTTTAGGACTAGGATTATACGAGAGGCCATCGAAATAGAAAAGTCCGGACACCTCAATACGAGAGACGACGCTCTGCATTTATCCAACACGTGGAGAACGATAATCAAACAGCAGAGCGATGCGCAGCAGCCAACGGGGACATCGCAACTACGATCGGGCGAAATTAACAACGCGACAATTCAGGGGGCGGAGCCACCTCCCCCCACGCACAAGCAGCACCGTTACCATCTCCGGCGCAGAGTATAAATACCGCACGCACCGCCGATAACCTCCCAGTGTTCGAAGTGTTTTCGGAGCGCGAGCATTGAAGATGCCAAGTGAGATTTTGGCGAAACGTCTGCAGGATTCCAGTCGGATGCAAGATTTGCAGGATTCCAGTCGGATGCAAGATTTGCAGGATTCCAGTCGGATGCAGGATTCCAGTCGGAGTTCAACGAGCGAACGGATGATATCCCGGAATATAGTGTCATCATATATATATATATATATATATATATATATATATATATATATATATATATATATATATATATATATATATATATATATATATATATATTGTGTTTCACGAAGTCACATGACGATGCTCTATAGATTAAATACAATTTTAATCCTGCGGCCGCTTCAATGAAAAAGTACAACATTGATATTTTAAATGGGAAGCCATGTATATTATTGTATTTTCCGACCTCAAAATACTATATGATTGTTTTTAATTAATACGTTCCTGTATCTATCTCTAGTGGTTTTTCGAGAAATTAATTATTACATTTTCATTCACTGGAGCCAGTAGAAAGTTAAAATTTTCTACAGCTTAGGGAGGTACTGTACATTATTTCCTAATATCGAGATTGGTTCTATATTATACAGGGCTGGTCAAAAGTAATGAATTGTCTACGATATACAAAAATGGTGAAAAGTACATTATTTCAAAATTTAGCACCCTGTGTATTATCACATATTATAAAAGCAAATTAAATTTTCTCTTCAATACATAAATCGTATGATTTAGGTAAAATACTTATGTTAAATATTTCATTTTCCGTTTAACAGTCCAATAAAGATTTGCTCATTATTGATTGCGGTGCAAATGTTTTCCATAAAATCTATTCTAAATGGGAGGAAACTAGTATTCTAATGCTAGTTTAAAGAGTTTCTTTATTATGCATGGATAATGCAACCACATCATAGCCAGAACATGCGGAAAGTTTATTGAAACTAACCTTGATTTACAACACACCAACAAGAGAAAATTTTTCTTTTCTTATTTTTTTAATTTTTTAATTTATATTTCAGGTAGCTGTGAAGTAGGTCGTCACCAAATATTATTTTATTTTTGAATGTTGCATTTATGTCAAAAGAGCAAATGTATCAAAAACTATTGGATTTGGTTATAGGAATGTGGCGAAAAATATGTAACTTTTATCTTTGGGTAATTTCAGCAACACCAACATAATGTATATATAAAAATATATATAGTATATATAAAAATATATCTTTTCTATTTGAGTTTTTTTCCCAAACATTGAATAAAAAAGTTGAAGTTGTGCATTATAAATGATCACCCGTTACAAGAAACAATTACAATAAAAGAATCAGAACAGAATTTCATACAATACACGAGTTTTATTAAACTCTTCCTAAAGCATTTAAGTTATTTCATTTCTTAATACTTTTTGGCAGCCATTTAAGCTGTAAGTTCTCTAAGCTCTAATTTATTTAGCACAACAGTATTTAACATCTGTGTAGTGTTACATTGATTGACTAGAATGAAATTAGTATGGTGTTTAGTATTAAAGTGATGAACATTTATAAATATTTAAGAAATAATTAACTCTATCAGAAATGTATCATATTACTATTAGATAATATGACGGCAATGATATAACTTGCTTTGTTTTAAATATAATATCTAGTATATTTTATTATATTGTTTTAAAATAATATCATAAACTGTGTGTGTTTTTTTTCTATTCTGTATTACCAAAATATAATATAAAAAACTCTACTTAAAATTATAATATTAAAAAAAAGCAAACGAAAAAAATTAATGCAAAATTGCCACACTTTTCTAATCCTAAGTGATTCGTTGCTGCTAGTAAACATCTCTATATCGGGTCAATCGAATTTCTTCCAGCAATTCTGGCGTAAATTCCTCAAGGATTTCTAGGTATAAGCTTGCTGTCATACCTCCTTCAAAAATCTTAAAAACTATATGCATCAAAATTTTCATTACTCTATATAAAAGAAGTTGGTAAGTTTCAGTTAAAAAGATGGAAATATACTCCTTTAAATCCATCCAAAAATTCAACATATTTTAAAATTAAATATTTGAAATTTATTTTTGTTTATTGTCACAAACAATAGTCATTTCCTTAAATCAAGCATTTAGTTTTCTAAAATTGTCATTTCTGTGCTTGTTTCTGAGAACAAATGCGTACTATATTTTTGAAAAGGTATAAAAGACAAATTTTATATTCTATAAATATATAATACAATAACTTGTTGACCTGCCCACAGAATCCAAGACTTTACAATGTTGAACAATACATTATAGTGGTTCAGTGATGTAGTCCTTTTCACTGTCTTGTGGAGTCTTTTTTTTAAATAAATAAAATAAAACGTCATAGAAAACATAACCCCCTATTCATTAATAACTAGTACCAAGCGACCAACATCAACATAGTAAAACGCATTAGATTTATGCAGTAAAGTGCCTATTAAGTTCGCTGCTTGCTAGACAGGCTGGATTTACTGGGTCAACAGGATCGAAAGCATTAGATGCCTAATCTTGGAAAAAAACTAGCAACGACTCAGTGCAGTTTTTCATTACACTGAACCAAGCAAATGTATGGAAATAAATTAAGTTGAGGATAAAGAAATAAAATTTTAAGAAAAAAAATTAAGGAAGCTTAATATCCATGATTTCATATTTTCCTTATTTGATTGGTAAAAAAATTGTTTATAGTTTATTTAGGTTACTTATAAAACATTAATTACAACATAACATTCTCCAACAATAATATCGTGCAGAATCAGTGTGAGCAAGTGCTAAAAACAATTTTGCGAATTATGCTATATTATTCGTAAATTATTTTTAGTGACAATCAAAGGGTCTATTATGGTACTATCTACAGATCTTCTAGAGTTCTCCTGAGGCGTTGGCTCCTTCAGAGCTTAACTGAAACCGAAAAAAAATTCATTTATGGTTTTACTGGCTTAGCCTAACGCACAGTAAGTACACTTCTGTATTCATAAACTTTCTAGTTGACAATATTTATAGATTACTTTCCTGACATATATTCAATGTGCTTTTGCCATCTTCAATTTGAATCTATAATGACTCCAAATTTTGTAATTTAACTAGATTTATTTATTTTAAGGATAAAATTGGTGGCGTTTTTGACGGCTATTCAATGTTGTTATTGAGAAGTCAAGAAGGTTTGACTCACCAACGGCCAGCATTTTTATCATGTTTCATATTCCCTTCGGCTCTTTCTTTACACCTCAGACCACTCTTCTCCAATAAAGTAGCCGTGTCATCTGCAAAACAAACCATGTCTCATTAAGGTAGATATTAAAGAGCACTGGGCCAAGCAGTGTCTCCTGGAGGACATTAAGATGTACTATTTACAATCTACGTTCTATTTTATATGTAAGATTTGATTAGTTTATTAACAATACCTGTCACTCCCAGTTTTTCCATTTTTATTAGCAAATTTTGATAAGCCACTATGTCAGATGTATCTCTTACTGACATCTGTTGGCAGGCGACAGCGTTCCCCGTACTAGATTTAGGCTAAAGGCATACTGGTATTCTGAAATAAGATTTTTCTTTTCGAGATATTCAGGTAATACATTTTTCAATTATTTTTGACAAGTTACTGGTCAGAACTAGGGTTGTGCAATTGACCGGTCAATTTTTTTTGTGTCAATAGACCGAAATAATTTTTAAAATAACATGAAATTTATTTGAATTATCATTTCATTTTATCTAATTGGTCAGAGTAATATTGATTTATTTGCATTATAATTCTCTGTGTATAATTTTAAATTTATCTGAAGGAACTGGTTACTTTGGCTACCATTCAAGGTTAGGGCAGTTTGTTAGATAGATGCAAATAATCAAAAATGACGTTTTAAAAGGTTATGCATAAATTATATAATCAAATGTATGGGGTGAAACGTGAAAATTTGAGAAATCGCACAACAAAGAAGCACAATTAAAAAAATAGAAAAACCATGTGATACAAAAACATTAAAAACAGCCTACTACAGAAGAAAATCGATTTTAGCTCCGACAAGACACTTGAAACGTTGAATTGTCGTTTCGCAGCCCCAACAGTACCTGATTTTTTTTTGCGTCTAACCAAATTCTATAGCGAGTTATCTTAATTAAGTGACTTATAATTAATAATTTTCCTTATGAAATTGAACACGTGCTTTTAGAAATACTTTTTTACTTGATTAATTAGGTCATTTACCAATGGAAACTCGTCTCTTATACACTCGGCATCCAAACCACGTGATCAAATATTGCCGTCTGGGGCAAACGATTATCATACTACAGGTAGAAAATTTTCAGATATTGGAAGTAATTGGTGAAAGGCGATATTAGAAAAAAATTTCAAATAGTTGTTATGATTTTTTTCGTAGATATCAGATGAATCTGAAAATAGGCGTTTTTGCATAGCTTTCACACTAAGGAACAGACGACGGCTTTTAATCGTTTGCAAAGAAGCATAATTAGGAAAGAAGAAAAACCTTGTTATGCAATGGCGACATTAAAAATCGCGGACTACAGAAGAAAATTGATTTTAGCGAAAAACGTTAAAGCTTTTAGCTTCCGCGGATTTGCTCGTATTTTGTAATATACAAATACAATAACGAAATTCAACTCTAACAAGACACTTGAAACGTTGAATTGTCGTTTCACGCTTGACTTTTTTCGCGTGCCTCAAAAAATAACAATGCCGGGCTAAAATTTTACGTAAAACTTTCACTGACTGACATGACGTTCTGCTAGTCATTATATTCCTTTTTGTTTTAAAATTGGGAAAATAAGTGAAGAACCGTGTTAAAATCTCGCGCCTTCCCATCAAAGTTTCGTATACATTTGTGTCTGAACGCAACAGGAAATTTAAATTCTTAGCTAATGGATTTGTCATTTTTGTAGGGGGGTCCAAAGCGTGTCGTTCTGCTCTCTGGGCGTTACTAAGTGGCGGCTAATGCTGTAAAGTACCCACTTAAAAAATTATGAAGATTTTGTAAATGTTTATTAACAATTAAAAAACAGCCATCTTAGACGGTATTTTGCCCTAACTTTTGTGTTAACCGATTCACTGAAACCCTAGGTATTTTCAAGTTTCCCAACTTTTGTATCAACTAACAAAAACTATAGCGTCAACGATAAGTCAAAAAACTATTGTTTCATATCTTTAATTTTAATAACCTAACTAAAACTAACTTTCAAAATGAAACATTGTCTACCAAATTAACATTGTCTACCACTGTCCTCAAACCGCGATTAGAACCTAGTTCGGCCGGCTGTGTTAACTTGGGCTAGTTGGAATTGGGATCTTGACTACTGTTTACAAAGAAAAATTGAATACAGAAAAGTTGGAATTTGAGCATAAATGTTTAAATAACATTTCCTTCTTATCTTGTTTTAAAAAAAAAAAACGATCAAAAATAAAGACAACGAGAAACAAAATAAAGATAAATAAAAAAAAGACAACCATAAAACTATGTGTATATGTAATGTGCTACAAGAGCATACAGCTTTTTTGTTTTAATATTATGGCTTTTCCCCTCCATTATGGAACGAATTTTTGCAGTAAATTGCAAATATACATTGTGGATCAAAAATTAAAGGTCGATACCAAGCTAATTCTTTTTAAATATAACAACGTTTTCAAATTAAAAATAACTGCATGTCCATTTTTTTTTAAATGATCGATAAGCGCAATTTTTCAATTTTGAGTTATATGATGATTATTTAAATACCTTCCAGTTTGTCCTATGCATTCACTGTTACTTCGTTGCAGTGTGTGCATCATTCAGTTTTGAAAATCAACAATAAACAACAAACTATTCTTTGCAGTTATAAAAGTAATTGATAAATCAATGTTTTTCAAAATTTCCCAAACGAAAAATGTGTCTTTTATCGGTAAACGGTATATTTAAATATGGAAAAACTTCGTTCAACATCTACAGACATGATCGGACAGTTTTAGTTTTGGAATTTAATTTATACAAATATAAAAAATAGTGAAATTGTCAATAAAAACTTCAGAAATATTCTTAGGATGCTGAAACCTGTGTTATTTTCAATTGCTGATATATTTTTTCATAATTATTACATATATTGTAATCGCACCCCTGATTTTTTTGTTCAATCTACCTCAAATTGATTTATTAAGGCAGTGAATCTGTGAAAGAACTAAAGATAGCCTCCAATTTAGTGAGTGCTATAAGTACCAGACAATAATTTGTTTTTACAAATATTAAATTTTCTTCCACTGTTGAGTTAGATATTTTGCATTTATTAAAGCGGCAGCAGATGCGTAGTCTAGATCTTCAATAACTTTTTCAACTGTTCAAAATGTTCGTCATAAAATATAACAGCGGCTAATTTTCAGATGGGGAGTCACTATTGGAAAAAATTATTTCAAGAAAATCCCTATATTGAAAAAAATCTAAAATAGTTGGTTTTGTTTTTTTTTTGTAGACATCAGATGAAACTGCAAATAGATGTTTTCCCATAGCTTTCACACTAAGGAACAAATGACAGCTTTCACGAATTTGCAAGCTTATCGGTACTTTGAATCTGTTTTAAATGTGAGTACTATCTCAACCAACTGCATCTCCAGGAGGATTCGTGTTTTGTGAGTGTTGTAAGGGGGGTGCTTGGAAATTAAATATTCATATTTATTGAAAGCAAATCATACTGTGAACATTGACGAATATCTTAAATTGAAAAGCCTAAAAATGAGGGACGAGTATGTTTGAAAACGGGTCATATTTATTCAAATATTTGTATAAAATTTGCAATATTGTGATTTTGGTATGTGGTCGCCGAATGCATTCTTTAAGCAAAGAATGAGTGAAAGATGCACGTGGAACAGAATGGTTTCATTTTGAATGTGTAAATTTAGAAACTGTTCTCAATATATTTTAGTATAGCAACCAATGTTCTGATTAAAAATAGAATTTTAAAAATGAAGTATATTTTTTTGCAAAACAATAAATAGTTTTATTTTATACTTCTAGCTTTCATTAAAATAGATGTGAGTATTTGTTTGTTATATGATTATTACTTGTGTGTAATGGTTCAAATTTGAAAAACGCACACCGTTGCAATATTTATTTTATTTTACATAAAAAAAATTTGATGTTTACAGCTCACACATTTGTTACATAATATTATAAAATAGGTATTTTAAAAGATCAAATTCTTAAAATGATTTTCAGTCTTTATAACTTTGTAAAGGCGAGGATCAACAGACTAAAGCAACTTAATGCTGTGGTACATGTAATGGGAACATATTCCGTTATCCTTTCAAATATTAACAAATGAACCATTCCATATTAAAAGCGAGCATAATATTTAAATTTGTTTATATCTGATGGATCATTAAAGCTTATGGCTAATTCTTTGTTCCAAATCTTCAATTTTTTTGGATGTAAAACAAAGCTATTCCAAATTTATAGTCAACGTCAAATCGGTTTGAGTGAATTTTTCAGTAGGTTGATTCTGATCTTTTCCGAAACATCGATTTCAGTTATTCTTAGCTGTTTGTTCTTTTGAGCAGTTGACACTGAAAAAAACTTACTCGATCGTGATTTAGTTTGCAATATTTTGTCAAAAATAATCTTAAATTGGAGTTGCTCAATGAATGCCTTATATAAGTGCTCATTCAACGGGGCTTGATATCTGCTTTCGACGAAAGGTGGGTTAAGCATACAAAAAATAAGAATATCTTTTTCGCTTAGAAACAAGCAGTGTATCAGATATTTCATCAAAAATTGCTAAAAATTTTCTAAGTAAAAAGTTATCACAAAAATATACCATTGAAACGTAACGCTAGTACAAGCAACCTAAAAACTAAGCTCGCCATTCTCTTCAAAACTGATCAAATTGTAAAATAAATAATAAATAATAAATAATAATTTTGTAAAAGCATTTTTGTTTCCCGTGGTATAATTTAGTGTTTAGAATTGATCCCTGTATAATTGTTTTGTTATGCTAACCCTTACGGGAAAATAAATAAATAAATGAAATAATGACTTGCAAAAGAGGATTAACTGCAAACAGTCAAGGTATGACGTCACCACACCTCGTGCTATCTTGTTATAAATTAAATCGAAATTGGGATGCGATAAATCTCGTACAGACAACGAAAATAGATGATCGAACGAAAATAGCATGGAAGTTCTTATTGCTCGGTTTGTCTTGGCGGCCCCGGCTATGCCAAAAGACACAAAAGCAATTTGAATTATTGTATTTTATATTCTTCTAAGCGTCACTAACTCGGCAAAAATTTGCATAAAAGCATTCTTGGCAGATATTTCGATGTTTTATTAGCCGTTTAACGGCTGGAAGCCGTAATATATAAGGCTGAAAGCGCGGCACAATTGAGATTAAATGTCGGTACGGTAAGTAAATGGTACGTTTTTAATTTATTTCGATATAAGTCACAAAAGGAGTTTCGGAAACGGCATATGATCGGTTCGAAAAGATCCGATTAGTTTTTTGGTGTTCCA